CCGGGCCGGGCTTTAAACCGTTATATGCGCGTCATGTTAAGATAAAATACCGCTGTTTTTTTGTTGATGCTTGTTATTTTTTCTTTTAACTTCCTTGGTCAGAGAATATATTTAAGCCTAGAATTAAGTTCTTGTTCAGACATCTAGGCTAACTATTCTGAATAAAAATAGTAAAAATATACAGCAAAAATGATTAATTCTTGACTGATTGTGATATGCGCACAATTTAAAAATGTCGGGCTGCAAACGGGTCGGGCTCTACGAAGCTGTCAATCATAACGGGCCGGGCCGGGCACGGGCCTGGTTCTTTCGGACTCGGGTCGGTTTCGGGCTGACTTTCAAGGCCCGTTTCATGCTCTAATTAGTAGTACTTGGATGGATGCGTGAGTATGTATGTACTGCCAACAGATGGAGATGCGGTACCACAATGTGTATGTCTGCTAATTTTCGCCTAACCTAGCATAAACCAGATTGAAACGTGTAGTTCAATTTGAATCATATACGGTATCAATCCGGAAAGCCTCATGTAGAAATTGTTCGCAAAAGAGAGGGACATTCACTAGCTTATTGGGTACCTGCCTCCCATGTCCAAATTTTAGCCAATCACAGCAGCAGTAGTAGCTGTTGACATATCATATTCTTAATTTGTTTTACATCTGGTGGAGCAACTGATCAAGCTTAAAAAAATTCAGTTTAGAGAAACGCGTAAACAGCTTTACATTCACAAAGACAAAAATCACATACACTTGCTCGTTTTTCAAAAAGAAAAAAAGAGGGTGTGGCAGCTAAAACCAGGAAAGCTATCGGTGTTTTGCTTCAGCCTTCTGCGTCTAGTTGACCCATTGATTTCATACACGTCACTGCATTTCATTGGTCCGAAACATATCTGTATCAAGACAAACTTATCTGTTGGCTTCTGGCAAGATTTATTGTTGGGAGTTGGTAAAATCCCAAAGGTAAGATTTTGACTGTTGTAAAAATCCTTTTGAAGCTCAAAAAGGAAATAGTAAGTACTATAAAGACAAACACTTGGAGAATATTTCTTTATGCTGGCAGTTTTAGTCCATGAAGCAGACACATGGCTGTCCGAATTTTCACGCTAATCACTATGTAGGACCTTATATAGTGATTAATATATAGGGCTCTATATAGTGATTATGCCATTTTAGATGAGTGTCAAACTCTCGTCTAGTGGATGAAAAAGTAGTGGACTAGTAATTTCCCACAGCCATCTACAGACCTAGTTTACCATTACCTTTTAAAACCGAGAGAGAGTACACATTAATCACATTAATTAAATTAACACAATTGAAGTAACATGAAAATATGTTTTTTTTTTTTTTCATTTTCTTTAATAGGTTTAAAATGATTAGGCCTCTGTAAAGACTATTGTTTTTTAACCAAATTTGGACCAATAAAAAATGGATAATGGCAGCAGCTGACGTTTCTTTTGGAGAATGCTATTCTATAATCTAAAATATTTTAATTAGAATTTACAGGGTTTTTCTTTTCATAATACATAAAACAGTACCTGTTTTTAGGGTGGCTGACATTTTATTAAAACTAACAAGTCTTTTCTGCAGCTTTTGTCTTAGGACTAAATTATTAAATAAGATAAGTATTTAATATAATAGAAGCACTAAAGTTGAGGTGTAACCTTTCCTGGCTCAAATAATCCTCCTCTATGTGTCCGATCTATCGGAGTTAATATTTAGGAACATACCTCAAAGCAGGTGTGTTAATAATGCTATCAACCAGACAGCCCTTCTACTGTTTTGATACCTGACCATTGTGATGTCATGACAGAAAGTGAAGGGGAGGGAGACTCGGAAGGGGAGGAGAGGCTTGTGAGGATTTTTTTTTTTTTCTTTTTCACAGTTCGGCAAGTCCAGGCAGAAAGGTAGAAGCGAAAATAGCTCAAGGGGCAAACAAGGTAACCTTTTTCAAAAGACGCTTCAGGGGGTGTCTGCCAAGTCCCACACAATACTGTCTGCAGTGAGCGACGAACTGCACGGAAGAATGAAACATCTCAGCATGTCTAAGAGCACATTTAAGTTAGAACAAATCAAAACACAGCTTATAGTTCTTTCTTTAATATTAACCAGATATCAAAGTGGATACATTTTCTTTTTTCAGAAAAAATCATAATATAAACTCCCTCCCACTACTGCCAGTCACCATTACACCACCTCTATCTTAAAAAACAATGTAAAAAATCTTTATGTGATGTATTCAGAGTACATAACAAGGAAATGATATGGCATAAATAGTGAAAGCAAAACATAAAGTATTGGTTGAAAGCATGCAGCACTGCTATTCCTGTTAAACTTTATGACATCTCAGGACTATTTTTTCCCATTTTAATCGTGTTTTTTTGATAAATGAGCTATCAATAAATACGCAAATGTCAGCGCAGCGTCTCATGTCATAGAAATACTGAAAAATGCACCCTCTCCTCTCTGGTTCCGCTGCAGATAAATGCAGGGGCGACACAAGGATGGGGCACAGGGGTCATGGACATGCATCTTGTTCTCATGGCATCATGACTACAGAAAAAGCCACAGGCAGCGGATTCGTAACTATATTAAGATATATGTCATGGTAACTGTTGACAAGAACAAGACCCAGAGAATTGCATTTCCCAGTTTGCTTGAAAGATGACCATATGCCTTCAAAGACATGTCTGTGATTTACGAGGGGCATGGGCAAAAGTATACAACAAGTCTGAACATGCCAGCAGGAAGATCCCTATTAAAGGCCCACTCCGTTCTAAAATTGGAAAGAGAGGGGGTACAGGGATCAGATGGCGGAGTTGTTTACAAGATATATTTCTATTTATACACAAAAAAAAGTTTTGTGTATAAAGTTTTTTGTTGTTTTTTTTTTTTTTACGTGCAGATTGTTTATCTGGATGTGATTTTGATGAAAAGATATTAAACGGATCTAAGATAAAGCTTTAGCTTAATGACTCAGATGTTACAAGAAATAAATTGCAGACTTGTTTTGACATTTGAAACGCATTAGTTTAGTATGCGTCATAAAAATCCATGGCCAAATCAAATGCTAGATAAGAAACAAAAACAAATTCAGAGTAAAATGAGTAATTTACAGAAACAGAACAGCACCAGTTAAATCCCCTCTGAGTTGTAAAGCCAGGGTACATCCTCTATGACTTCCTTCATGGCTAATGTCGCAGATAGAGCCGATTACTCCTTGATCTACATTCTTTCTGCTCAGCCAAGGAAGCCCTCCTAAGCCGCCTCTCTGTTGTCATGTTAGTCACATGGAATGACACAATTAGCTCGTCTGGTTTGAATGACTGTATTTTATAGAAAAAAAAAAACAACAGAATTGTATTAAGAAGATTTTTTCCAGCTAAATTGTCTTTACAATCTCTGGATTTTGGTAAATTTTTGATAATGGGAAAAGATAGTGTGACCAATGGTAATGGGAGCATGAGAGCAAATGCTGTATAACAGGGTTTAAGAAACAAAACAAACCAAACAAAAACCACTTATAACTGGCTTAAGCATGTTAAATCAGCGAGAAGCAGGCCAGCATTATTAAAGCCAGGACTTATGTCTGGATTCTCATATTTACTAAACCAGCATAGTTCATTAAGGATGAAATAGCTATACTTCATCCACCCTTTCTGGTATCTCCTGAAAATGTTGCACTTACCATCCAGAGTAAATGACGTCTAAAGGCGCTGGTGACGATTCTTGGTCATCCAGGTAATAGTCATTCCAAAAAAAGAATATTAAAAACAACTCATCCAAGCTTTGCATCTATGAAGCTTTTTCAATTCAAAATGAAACAAATGGAAATTTTGAAACAAATTAAAACTAATTAAAACTAATTTTGAGTTGAAAAAGCTTCGTAGATGGGAAGCGAAACATCTTCAAACAAAGTCCAGTGGATTTTTTTTTTTTTGGGGACGTCTAAAGGCCTTAGAAAGTATTCTTGTTTTCATACGGCTTGTTGCGTCTCTCTGCTTTTTCCAACCTAATTTTCTCACCTAACACTTCACCAGTACTGATATTACAGAAATAATAGTATGTCCAAATGTAAGTACCAGTGCCCTGGTAGCGTGTCCAGGGATTAGAGTCTTTGAATGGTGAAGCTGAACATAACCCAGTTTCATATTGGATCTCTGAGAATCTCACAAAATACAAACTTGTGAAAGTACCTTAAGTATGAAATTATTACATGCATTTCAATAAATGATAAGTGTTTTCATTTAGTCATTTTCATTTGAATGTGCTTTACTGGAGTCATCCATGTTTGTCAAAGAACATTACTGCCACCTACCGGTTTGTAACGTCACAGTGCGGTATCGGCTGTTGAGCAAGTCCCAGTGCTGTATCTGGTGTTTGTCAAAAGGCCATTATCCATGATGGCGTCAACCAGTGAACTATTCAAAGCAGACAATAACGGATTGAAGAATATGTTTTTCCTCTGGCCAGAAGTTCGATGTCAAATCTTCCCTCTTCAAGTTGGCAATCCAATGACGAACCCGTCCGTGGTGGATCATAATTTGAAAAGGTGAAACAAGTAACTTTTTTTTTTCCACTTTTACCCGATGTATTACAACATCCAACTGCCATGCACGCTGGCATTGTCAGTAAAACTATAGCTTACACAAATTTCAATGGTGAGGTCCTCTTGAAATCTAAAATAATTGTTTTTGATTGCGATTCTAGTAGTTCCCATTGATTTTGCTTGTAAAGCGGGGAGAATGGCGCCAGGCTTACTGCACCGTGACGTAACTGCCGGAAGATTGGCCAGTACTGGACTGAGTGATCGAGATGAAAAATATTGTTTTTATGTTTTCAATGATTAACGCTAAATTTATTAAATCACCACAAACGTATTAGTTTTAGGTATAAATAATGACCCCTTGGTTATTCCTTACTGACTGGACTTTTCCTTTAAACCTAACTGGATAAATGTGTGAAAATCCTTATCCGCTGTTGATTCAACTCCTGTTTTTCTGACAGAACAACTCATCATCCCGAACCATTTGAAGTGACAGCTACAACCGGATCTCCAGGACTGAATGATTGCCATCAGAGACTTTTGTTTTTTTTTTAAGTCCTTCAACAGCAGTCTGAAGAGCTCCACGCTGCTTCAACACCGCGAGAAGTAGCTTAGACCCCTACCCAGTGTTTACATAATCTCACCCATCCGTCTCTCACTCAACAGTGATGGAGGGCCGCTGGGCAATGAGGCATTTACATCTCATCCATGGCCTGTTTGTCTCCAATGAGCACTGGGAGCCTAAATGCAAATAGCTGATTGTTTGTTTTTTGTTGGCTCAAGTTAAAATAACAGAAGTGTAACAAATAAAGCAATAAAGAATGTTGTTGTGAAGCATTGGTAAAGTGTAGAATAATTTGGATATAAATATAAATGTTGACATCTTTTCCCTTGAAATTGTAGAAATGATTGCATGCTTTTAATATATTTACACTAAAGAATTTGCAACAAAAAAAAACACAATAAAAAAAAGATATATATTCTTACTTTGTATAAACTTTCCACTTTGTAAAGTGAAAGCGGAGATGAATAGTTTAACAATGTTTTATAGATCTTTTGGATGGTATAAATCAGGCTCAGAAAACAGCAACATATTCTGTAGCTAAAGCAAAGTCATAGATATCAATTCAAGCGAAACTGTTCTATTCAAACATAAACATGACAATACCGCTATCGCATAAACCCATGCTAAATCTCTTAGTGACACTTCCTTTACATAAATACAAACACGGCAAAAAAAAGGGGGTGAAAACATTCGGGCCCTGCATCTAAGGGTTGGCAGAGAAGCGGTGAAAGATGGTTGAGTACATTCCCAGCCCTGGCAGAACAAATGGTGCTGTTGTTTGGGTTCAGGGAGCTGGCCCTCAGAGAGGGCACCACAGGAGGGAAGCAGAGGGGAGGGGAGGCTTGACGGGGACAGACGAGGACACTGGAGCTGGGTGGCCACGTTGCTTGGTTCACACTAACAAGCTCAGCCTCGACAGAAAAGTTCTAGAGAGAGGAAAGATTCTCGGGGGAAGAATTCTGTTCTTGATAAAGTTTCTGTTTTCCTTTGCAAATAAGGTGAAAACTGCAATAAACTAATTTTAATTACCATTATGTGTGATTTAGGATAAAGGTAGAGTTGCAGTTCGACATGGGTCAGCATATAGTATATACCCAGGTTTATTACTTTTCTGTTTCAATAAAACGTAGATTTTGTCATAAAACTTTAGATTTAAATAAGGGCTGGAACTCACTAATTATTTTGCAAATGGATTAATCAGTTGAATATTTTTTTCTATTAATCTATTAATAATCAGATAGCCAAAGATTCTTTGAATAAATATTTTTACGAAAGTAAACCAGGTGAAACTCAAACTTTTCCACTTGAGGAATTCTGGATAGAGGATATTGACATTGATTTTTTTTTTTTTTACAATCTTAGTAAAATTACTTAACTAAGTGAGTTGCACTGTCAGCCAAAGTTATGTTTTAGAGTCTCTATACTCCAATTAACGATTAATCGATTTCTAAATTAGTTTATCTGATTAACTCTTTCGGTCCTAATTTAAATGTCACTTTACATCATGATACTTTTAATGGAAGTTATCAGGAATCTTACATCAGCCCATGTCTCGTCGCAGCATGGAACTACAAAAAAATATCATCAGGATTTTGTATCCCAAACATGTGGTTAAAATAAATATAATAAAATAAAAATGATGCTCTAAAAGAATGGGCAAGTGTAATTTAAATAAATTGCATTACATTAAGTGGTGAGGTATAACATTGATCTTAGAACCAGCATGCTGATTATTACATGTACCTTGATGAGGTAGAACATCAAAGTCATTTTTGTTGGCACTGAATGACCGAGTTTTGTTTATTGTGGTAAAGTTGATCAATTCCAACTAAAATGGATTGTTAAACAATACAGCTTTAGTATTCCTTTCTGTTCTGATGCTGCACAGCTCTTTGAGGAGGGTAAATCAGATCAAAGGAAGCTGTGGAAGACCGTCTCATGTGGCACAGACAGCCTAGGGGATTCGTCTGTCATTCGCGGCGATTAGCACACCAATGGAACAGTAATACTGCTCATTGTAGCACACAGCAGTAACGAGTAAGCCTTTGACATGTCTGTGGCGATAACTCAAACGAGTTAATAATGAGAGTTCCTAATGAAGTAGCAGCTGCTCAGATCTAAACACCTTATTTGATATATATTTGCAGACAGACTGACTGTCTTAGCATTATTACACTATTTCATGTTATTTATGACAGGTAACTAAAGATAACCAAAATATTATTGCTGCTTCATTTTTCTATTGTTTGTTTTTGCTTTCATTTAAAAGGGGGTCCCAATAAGAGTAAGAAACAATAGAACATCTGGACAAAAGAAAACCCACTTCTACACTCAGCTTCTAGGGTCTGCGTTGAACGTGAAGAAGGATCAAATGATCTAAACAGCATCCAGACATGACAACACTCAAATAATTTGTGTAAACACACATGGTGTGATGAATCAATGATTATACAAGCAGTATAACCAGAAGCAGATCACTTTTTCATCCCGTGAATAATTATGGGGGGCCCATGTGTACCGACCAACTGAAAACAACAACCGCGAGCAAAGGACCTCACTGAAATTCTCTCCAAATAAAGCAACTGTTTTTTGTTTTTTTTATTCCTCTAATGAAAATGTGGATGACGCATTTAGCTTATTTGAAACATGGATTCTAAATGCTTGACCAAATGGTTTTTTTTTCATCTATATGGGTTACAACTGGAATTGATGTGAAGATGGATTAATAGCATTCAGATTGAAGGAGTAGAAAGCATTAGTCAGGGTGGTTCAGGAACCCCTGAAGCATGACGCCTTCTCTCACTTGAAGGAGTCCAATTCTAATCATCCCCAAGTGGGCTGGAGGCATTCGCTCACCTGGTTTCCAAGCTCTATTGGCCACATATCTTTATATCTAGGAGAAATTTGTCACAGCAATCAGGCGTGTCTGTGCACAAGTTGGCTATAACTATATACCAGGTTTTAGGCTATATAGAGTTAAAGAGAGCTGTTTGTGATTAAAGAGTGGATTCCTTCATGAATAACTTTGATATTTCTTCAAGATGTTCAACAAAAAAAATCATCTACAGTGATTTTTGGAGCTGTAGTTTTGACTTCTGGCAGCTGAATCTTTGGTTTTTGTTTTTACTCAGCAGCTCTTTTTAAGTAATGCCATTAGCAATAAAAGCAGACATTTTCAAGAACTTCACTGAGGGTTTTAGAAATGTTTGGGGGAGAGAAAAAAAAAGTGAAGCCATTGCAGAAATCCTCCAATTCTGCCTCAGACCTAATGGCTTCTGGAGGTCTGGCAATGGTTTGCATCAAGGCGGAATGTCAAAAGGTTTGAGTGAGATGACCAGACGCCTCAGTTTACTGTGCTTGGAAAATTTTAAAATTATCTTCTTCTTTTTTTAAACTTTTATTGTGTTTATTAAGTCATTCCATTTGCATAGATTATTTGAAAATAAAATTGGATTGGCTTCTCCAACGATAGCATTTTTACTAGCTTTCTCAGCTTCAACATATACAAATAATTTTAAGTTTAAACGTTTCCAAAGAAAAAGATAAAAACCTGGATATGCAATTATGATAACAAACGTGATTTGAATTTTAGATATTAACAATTCAGGTAAATGTATTTCAAAGCTAAAGGAGGGAAATCCATCAGTCCAACTGTGAAACACAACATAATTATTCAAAAAAGACTAAGAAATTCTTAGGAAAAAAAACACACACACACATACAACTGCCTCTGCCTTTTTTATGATTTTTTTAAAGGTCTGTTTGAGTCATTCTCATAAAAAAAGAAATGCTATCATATGTGGATGTAATGTATATACTGTATACATCCCATGCACATTCTTCTTCTTTGAATATTTGAGCTGATGTAACGAGTCAATTTCTCCACAGTGAGATCAATTAAGTCAATCAATCTATCAAAACATGATTTATACTTAATTTTAAGTTAAAGTGTAAAGTAAATGGTAAATGTCATGTACTTATATAGCGCCTTTATTCAAGTCAGGGGGCTTGACCAAAGCGCTTTACACTACATTCATTCACCCATTCACGCACACACTCACACACTGATGGTGGCAAGCTACATTGTAGCCACAGCTGCCCTGGGGCTCACTGACAGAAGCGGGGCTGCCGTACACTGGCGCCACCGGGCCCTCTGACCACCATCAGTAGACAATGCAGGTGAAGTGTCTTGCCCAAGGACACAACGACACTGAAAGTCGGAGTCGGGGCTTGAACCGTCAACCCTTCGATTTCAGGGCAAACTCCTACATCCAACGCAACTGTCGCCCCGGTAAGGAGACAATGAGGATGAATAGACTAATTACCCTCAATATCCCAAATATAAACCATCCTGATAGATGTGTTTACAACCTTACCTTCACATGCAGCGAACCTTCCAAAACACTACCACCCCCCACACATCTAACCACATAGTCCTTAGATATTTTTGATAGTTACATCAGATAAAGTAGTATTACACATGACATGAAAGACATTGCTTGCCCATGCAGATGAGCACCTCCCACGCAGCTACCTCACTCTTCTCATTGCTCCTGGCAGGGCATACCAGTTTCCACCTGGATGGTCTTCAACTATTTGCCAAGAGGATATCACGGCAGCTCCATATCCTCTGTGTGACAGTGTAATTCCCTCTGCCCTGCAGCAATGTCTGCAAAACTCAGACAGTTTACATGTTCATGTAGCTACATTGCACTGGGGAAAAGAGAATTGCCAAGAATTCGGTGCATTCGTTTGGTTTCTGGTTCTAAGAGTTTAACCCCTTCTAAGATACGATGCTGTATTTTACAAACTTAAAGAGCACATCTCTCCATTAAAGTCGATCACATAAATGCTTTTAACTGTGACATAATAAAAGGGATTACATGTGTGCAAACATATTGTTTACCTAAACAAATGGAATGGAATAAACAAATGGTGTAGAACTGCATTCTGACATAATTTAAACACATCTGCAAAGGGAAAAAAATGAATAAAATAATGACATATTGGAGTTCACACATGATGAGTGTAGATAACTAATCCAACTCATTTTAGTGACTCAGGTCAAACATTTTAATTAAATCTCCTGAAAACGAGCCGAGCCCTTCGGATAACTGACAGCTATAACATGTTTCAGTCAAACGCTGCTAGAATGCAAATCTACAATATAATTATTCTGGTTGCAAAACCCCTATTAATATTTCTATGTTAAACGGAGGCATCGAAAGGCGAAATTCTAGGATTTCCAACATAAAAAGAAGAAAATATACATCCGATCAGGAAAGTCTGATCTACTGCAATTTATGCCTAATAGAGATACAAAATTTAATGAAATGCTATGAAATGCAATATACATGGTTAGATTGGCAGCATGAAGTAAAAC